TTTTTTTTTTTTTTTGAGATAGCACCTGCACACAAGTGAGGAAGGGGCAGACAGGCAGGGAGGGAGAATCTTAAGTAGGCTCCTCGCTCAGAGTGAGCCCAACTCTGGGCTCGATCTCACAACTGTGAGATCATGACTTGAGCCAAATGCAAGAGTTGGATGCTTAATTGACTAAGCCACCCAGGTGCCCCAGTGGAACAATTTTTTGTGTTTCTCACTGATTTTGTTATTTTTTAAAATCATCATTATAGTTTCAGTGTGGTTTCTGAATGGTTACATTGTATGTGTGAGTGTGTGTTACATCTTCATTATTCCATAACTTCATCTGCACTTTGCATATTTCATTGAGTTGTCAGCATATTTCACTTAACAGGTCTCTTGTTGGACGTTAACTTTTTGTTGTCATAAATAGCTACTTGAGGGGCGCCTGGGTGGCGCAGTCGGTTAAGCGTCCGACTTCAGCCAGGTCACGATCTCGCGGTCCGTGAGTTCGAGCCCCGCGTCAGGCTCTGGGCTGATGGCTCAGAGCCTGGAGCCTGTTTCCGATTCTGTGTCTCCCTCTCTCTCTGCCCCTCCCCCATTCATGCTCTGTCTCTCTCTGTCCCAAATAAATAAATAAACATTGAAAAAAAAATAGCTACTTGAAGTATTTTTCTACAGTTCATTTACTTTTTGAGTTTTTCCTTTGGGTTACAATATTAGGAATAGAATTGTTTTCGTTTTGATAGTTCATGGTAGAGCAGGTGTTTCTTGATTCTATAGCTTAGGAAACAGGTTGAATTAAGTGACTTAAGATAACATAATTTGTAATAGAGTCAGAAGACAGAACTCATTATTACTTTGTCTGGTTATGTGATTCAGCTTCTGGCTTTACCCAATACCACTTATGTTATGTTCCTTCCTTGCTATTAAAAGTATATTTTTGGGATGCCTGGGTGGCTCAGTCATTTGAGTGTCCAAATCTTGAATTTGGCTCAGTTCATGATCTCAGGGTTCCTGGGATCGGGCCCTGCACTAGGCTCTGCACTAACAGTACAGAGCCTTCTTCAGATTCTCTCTCTGCCTTTCCTCTACTCACATATTCTTTCTCTCTTCCTCAAAAATAAACATTAAAAAAATGTTTTTTAAAAAATTGCTTGTTGAGATACGGTTGACATTTGGAGGCATGTGTTTTATGGCTATACTTCTGATAATATCACTTTTTTGAAGTAACATGAGGAAGACTGAACCAATATCATGTCATAGATTGATTATGGCTTAGTTTATCATAAAGCATATAATAGTCATAGGGTTTTATTGTTACTGGATGATAAGGCAATGGTTGAGAGTTTGGGCTGTGGCATTGGACTACCCAGATTTGAATCCTGGCTCTGCCACTTGCTAAATAGCATATGACCATAGGCATGTAGTAAAATAAGAGTAGTAATACAGTATTTACCTTAAGAGAATTAAAAAATGTGTGTCTAGCACATAGCAAACAAGTAAATGTTAGCTACTATTTTTAAAGTGATTTAGGACTTGAATAAATCAGCCAATATAATATTTAGCAATGATTGCCAAATAAATGATCATAAATTATATGGGAACCTACTCAAATTGTAGTTTTTAGTACAGGCAAATAAAAAATTTGTTTTCCCATCCTGTCTTCCTATCTTGGTTTTAAAGTTTCAAAGTTTGAAAGCCAAGTTTCAAACCTTTTTTTCCTGATAACTTACAAACTAATAACAGGCAAAAATGGCCTTTTTTTTTTTCCTTTCAAAGCATAACGTGTAGTTTCTTATTTCCCAGTAAGTCTATACTTGTAGAATTACAATATTTTCAATAAGGGCATTCCATGGGATTTAACTTCTGTCAAATTATTGTCAAGTTTATTTATTTTCAGAGACAGAGACAGGGTGAGCAGGGAAGGGGGAGAGACAGGGGGAGAGAATTCCAAGTAGGCTCTGCGCTGCCAGCACAGAGCCCAATGGAGGGCTTGAACTCAAGAACCAAGATCATGACCTGAGCCAAAAATCAAGAGTTTGATGCTTAACCCACTGAGCCACCCAGGCAGCCCTGAAAACAGAGTCTTAAAGTTGAATTGGTAACTTACAAGTCATTAGATTGAGCTCAATTCTTTTGATTTCCTTGAGGTGGAGTATTATTCATTTGAATACTCAATTTATTTGAATGATTTCAGTCAGTTCATTTAGCATACTCTTTATTGAATCCTTAATTCATTTTAGGCATTAAGAAGGGAAGATTGAGTCTGGAGGAGGAGCTCACCAAACCTTTTTCAAGACATGGCACTTTCAGAAATTTGTATGTCTCCTTGAAGTAAATGGGAGAGGTTGATCTTTGTCCAAGTACCCTAGGAGCTTCTTTTGGCTACCTAGGAATATCTCAGTGCACTTACAACTCCTTTGGTGTTGTGGGAAGCTCAGTCCTACTGAACACAAAGCTGTCTTCATCTTAAACAAGAGGTCTGCTTATGGTGTGTTAAAGGCACAGGCATGGGTTTAGAGCTTAGATGGAGGATGTTGGATTGCAGACAAATTAGGCATATTATTTTTGGAGAAAAGATGCAGCTAGAGTCTCTACATTAGACAAGTCCAAGAAGCTTGATTTGTATTCTTTTTATTCTACATGAAGGGTGTTCCTTGGAGTTGTGCAATATACCGTTCTGCAGGTCCAAAGTCTGGGTCAGTTGCATTGGCACTGCTAGAGCTTAGCCTGTAGCATTCAGGATTATTTCATTAGAGCCATTATTGTTATGTAATTAATAGGAATGTGTATGTTTGAGAAGGATGTCAAATATAACCTGCAGAAGGGATCATAGTCTACCTGCCTCCCCCCCCCCCCCCCCCCGCCATTTTATTGAGATATAATTGACATGTATTTGGGACAACATAGTCCCTTGACATTATTTCTAAATTCTTTTTATAATCTTCCCGCTCTCACCTAGTCATGTTGTGATGCAAAGACTAGGGCAAAAACATCTTCTAGGAATGATTCTGTGTCTTTTCTCAGTTTTTAGGTTTTTAGAGTTCAAAATAATTACTTTTTTTCTTTATGAATGTAGGTAGATTACTTACATAAAATAAATATAAGTTAAGAGCTGTATAAAGGGCTGTGTTATGAACAATTAAGACAATTTAGTTCTTTGTAATTGCTGTTAAGCTGGGCGTTTTTATCTAGAATTCTGTGCATTGCTTTCTCAGAAGGCTAATAGTAAAATAGTACACCATTTCAAAGGTTTTGATTCTTACTGATGACCCATGTTTTGTCTGTCTAAAGTGTCAACCCAAGAAAAAGTCTACGCCATTGAAGTATGAAGTTGGAGATCTCATCTGGGCAAAATTCAAGAGACGCCCATGGTGGCCCTGCAGGATTTGTTCTGATCCGTTGATTAACACACATTCAAAAATGAAAGGTAATACTAGTAGTTGATTATATGTTATAAAATACAGTATGGAATAAAAAATTTGTAGCTATCTTTAGTAATACTCCATTTTTACCTTTGAGTATTTTGTGGATGAATTGTTATTAATATATTTTACCTTTTTGAATTTTTTAAAAGTTTTAGTTTATGATTTAAAAATTCAGTTATTCCATTTATAGATGCCAGGAAAATGTTAGGTTTATTACCTAAAGTTCCACATTGTCACTTTGAGAATCTACCTCAGTCTTTAGGCTTGTATCTTTGCTGTTAAGTTTTCAAGCTGAAACAATTATAATGAAGGCTTATGAATTATTTTGAATTTTAAAATCTTGATTTAGAGTATTCCCTTTAATTACTGTACTTTGTTTCTTATTCGCCTTGTTTGAATATCAGATATCTTTTTTTTTTTTTTTTTTAATGTTTATTCTTGAGAGAGAGGGGACACAGAATCTGAAGCAGGCTCCAGGCTCTGAGCTTTCAGCACAGAGCCCAGTGTGGCACCTCAAAATCATGAGCCGTGAGATGAAGTCAGATCCTTAACTGACTGAGCCACCCAGGCGCCCCATAAATATCAGTATCTTTAAAATAATGTAAGGTGGGGGCCAAAACTTGATCTTAAGCTGCCTTTTTTCTATTAAGATGTTCTGTGATTTAATTTTAATTTTAATATATGTGTATTTTAGTTTTTGCATAGGTCATATATTCACAATATTTAAAAAATCAACTCCCTCCTTTTCTCTGATCTGCTGTTTCAAAAAGTAACCAGTTTTTAATGTTTCTTTCTATAAATCCAAGTATATATTCTCATCTTTATTCTAACACAAATGTAGCACTTTTTTTTGTTGTTGTTGTTCATGTTCTACAGCTTACTTTTTTTGCTTGTTAGAGGTTTTCCATGTTAGTGCATTGAAGACTGTCTTTTTTAATTTTTTAATTTTTTAAATGTTTATTTTTGAGAGAGAGAGCGAGCGAGCATGCGTGTGAGAGCTAGCATTAGCTGGGGAGGGGCAGAGAGAGGGAGATACAGAATCTAAAAGCAGGCTCCAGACACTGAGCTGTCAGCACAGAGCTCAATGCAGGGCTCAAACTCATGAACCATGAGATCGCATGAACTGTGAGATCATGACATGAGCCAAAGTTGGACACTTAACTAACTGAGCCACCCAGGCGCCCCAGTTTCTCTCTCTCTTTTTTAACAGCTGCATAGTTTTCTACTTTTTGAATATGCTGTACTTTATATAACCATTTTCCTGTTGATGGACGTTTAGGTTGTTTCTGATCTTGTGTTGTAAAGCCTATACATGCATATTTACATACATATGTACATAACATAAATGTGTCTCTGCACACACAACAGTGTAAAGAATAACTTCCACATATGCATGTCTGTCTGTAGGATGATTTACCAAAAGTGGGATTAATTGCAGGATTTGATTTTATATTTTGAATATTGAGGTATACCTAAAGACCTTTATAAGTTTTTTGTTTTATTCATCTGTAAATCTAAAGTCTAAATCTGAAGTCTAAAGACCTACTGTTTTTTGTTTTATTCATCTGAATTTTTT